TGTGCACACGAGGTGGCGCCAGAGCGCTCGGTCCCCAGTGAAAAGGAGGATGGTAAACCGGCTCCCGTCTCTGTTCCAGCTGGAACCAGAGGGACAGTGACGGTGTGCGCACACGAGGTGGCGCCAGAACGCTCGGTCCCCAGAGCCGTCCTGTCCAGCACCCTCACAGGATTGGGATTGATGAGCACGCCTGTGGCCAACGCTCCCCTCTCTCTTATCAATACAGATCCAGCCGTTTTAGGCAGTCAGAGGGGCTGACAAGCAGAAAGTAGCCTGAACCTTGCCAAATATGTTTGTGATGCACTAGGAAGTTCAGAGGACCTGGTGAAAGCTCGTATGTTTTAGGAACACATCACTGTTCCCAGTAGCGTGAGATCCTCATTCATAGTTTACAGGTATTAACCTTTTCACTGTTATCATTTGTTCTTTTAAAAAATTTTTTTAAGGTTTCATTTATTTGAGAGAGAAAGAGCATGAGGAGGGGGAAGCAGCAGACAGAGGCAGAGAGAGAAGTAGACTCCTGCTGAGCAGGGAGCCCGATGCGGGGCTCGATCCCAGGACCCCGGGATCATGACCTGAGCCGAAGGCAGACGCTCAACGACTGAGCCACCCAGGCGCCCCTGCCCTTTTTTTTCTTTTTAAGCCCTTAATTGATACTGTAATTGTTGGCTTTGTCCTCTTGAAATAGACGTGCATCAGCGTGTATTATCTTTTTAAAAAGAAGGAACCATGTTTACGCCTGCTGCACTGCTGTCGCAGTCAGCCAGCCCGTACCCCAGTCCTGCCAGTCGCAGGGTCGAAAGATGTTGCCGCAGAGGATGAGGCCTTTTCCTTTCCTAGCCTCCTTTTTTTATTTGTTTCCCTTTGCCTCCGCCCTCCATCTAGTTTCTTTCCTTCATTAATTAACTATAAAGGAAGATGAAACAAACTGTGGATCTGATAGCACAGACAGAGACATCTGAAAATGAAATCCCCATGGCCAGAACCGTTCCTGCGAGGACTCTGAGAAACTCCGTGAGATGCAGCTCGGTTTTCAGCCCCTTTACTTCTGCGGTGTGATGAATTTGTCTGTTTTATGCTTCTGTTCATGGGGAAACTCCTGAAGTCAACACTTTCCACATTTTGCCACCCAGATATTTTTCTTCGTTAATTATGAGTTGTCAGAAGGTTTGTGTTATAAATGCTTTTCAGATTTCTTCCTTTTTTTTTTTTTTTTTAAGATTTTATTTATTAGAGAGAGACCAAGCATTAGCAGGGGTTAGGGGCAGAGGGAGAAGCAGATTTCCCACTGAGCAGGGAGCCCGTCCTGGGGCTCGATCCCAGGACCCTGAGATCATGACCTGAGCCGAAGGCAGACGCTTCACCGACCGAGCCACCCAGGCGCCCCTCAGATTTTTTAATATTCTTTATTATGTAATATCCTTGAATGTTTTTGCCTGCTTGGAAAAATGTTTGCTCTCTGTCAAGTACCTAATGAGGCTCCTTTTGAGTTCTTTCTGTGTTGTTGATGGGGCCGTAAGCTGTCCAGAGCGAGCAGGTTCTGTCCCGCACTGGAGAAGTGGAGAGTGGGAGACCCAGGTGTGGGTGGGTCTCCTCCTCACGCCGCAGCCTCCTCTTGCGGGCTCTGGAACATTTTCGTGGCAGCTCTGCGGATTTCCGACTAAAATTCCCCTCTCACACCCAGGCAGTGCAGCCAAAACACTAAGGCCCCATGGGGTGGTGGGGACCGTGCAGTAGGAGCCCAGGCCAAGGCTGCAGATGACGTTCAGGAGCCCTGGCAGGAGTGGGCTGCAGCCTGTTGGTCGAGGGCATCACGTTCCAATAATGAGGACCCTTAGCTGACTTCGCAGACACTCTGGGAGGCTTGGAGGAAGGAATACGCACCTACTAGCCTTAGTGCATGTCCAGATGTCTGTGTTTAGGTAAGTGAGTAAATAGAAGCGCTCTACACTCTGTGTGACCCCGCTGAGCTGGGCACTCACTGAGCTGCTCTCCAGTGCGTTCTCTTTTCCGCAAGGAGGCTGAGGGCTGTGTGCACAGCTGTGCTGAAACAAGAAAGACAGAAGAGTCTGTCTGGGGTCCTGCTGGTGGCTGAGGGGACAACAAGATTCATTTACTACTGCGAATACATTTTGAAGAATAAGGGTTAATTCACATTTTGAAGCCCGTGCTTCTCGTTCTGCATTAGGGTGAGTTCTGCATGAATAAAAGTTTTTTAAAACTATGTTCGTGTCCAGATACAGTGGGAAGCACCCTGGAAGCGATGGTCTGAACCACGCAGAAGTCGCCGTGACTTATTTCCACGTTGCACTCCCGTCTTGGCGCGGAGTTGTCCTTTGTTTGAGGTCCCTGAGTCGTCTGCGTTCTTTTTCAGGAAGAATGAGGTGACCTGGAGGCCCCACTCCTGGCATGCCACCAAGTTCTCCGATAGCCACCCCGAGACGTCAGCATCGCCGTTCGCCTCCGCCAGTGCCTGCCCTTCTTGGCACAGCCGACACCACGCCAGGTAGGCACTGGCTTCCCACCGGGAGGGACAGGGTCCGACGGTGTTCATGACTTCCCAGCCCTGCCATGATAGCACCTTTCTCCACTTCAGAATGATTTTGTTTTTCTGATGAGGAAAAGCCACAAACCCCATTACTGGTGAAACTCTCTAAATTTTTCAGAATGGGTATGTGTCCAACCCTTGAAAACAAAAACTGAAATACCAAGAGCAAGGATGAGCAAGTGTGCTTTCTCATTATATCGCTTAATAAATCGGGAGCCTAGGGACTTTGCTTTTTGCGCTGAATCCCTTTGGGCCAGCTGAGTTGGTGGTTCTGACCTGAGTGGAACAGCTGCCATGCCACCCACTTGCCCACAGCCACCTCCATTCTTTTGAGACTTTTATGCGTAGATTGGAAGGCAGGAGCTACTTACGGGTTCAGCACATGTATTTCACAGAGGCTCCCAGACGGTTCTGTTAAGCATCAGCACCCTCTCCCCGACCCCCAGGGCTCTCTTGTGGTGGGGGTATAGAGGAAACCAAGGCTTCCCAGCCCACATGCCAGGGTGGTATCCAGCCTTGAGGGCCCAGTGGTGTTTTCCCACTGAGCGTGAGACCAAGATGATGGGAGTTGTAGGTCAGGGGAAGGAGGGGGAGTTCTGGTCGGCCTGGCGGCCACATTTCAGAATCAGAAGTGCTAATGTATCAGGCAAGCATGTGGCAGCACCATGGCGGTGTTGGCTTGAGGAGGCTCCCGCTAGTCATTCATCACCTTGGGTCAGTGGCCAGTGTCCTCACAAGTCTCCTATTAAAAGGATGACGGTAGCAACAAGTAGCGTGGGTTTGGGTATGTGTGAGTGCGTGTATAAGTGAGTGTATGTATCTGTGCACACTTAGGATTTCTGCACGTGTGTGTGAACGTGTGTGCACATGCACTTGAATGTATGCGCTTGTGTGTTTGTGAGTGTGCGTGCGTGTCTGTTCTGTAAGTGCATTTGTGCCAGTGTGTATGGAGCTAATGTAACCATCTCAAAATCAATTTTTTAAAAAAAGATTTATCTGTTTGAGAGAGCGAGCGAGTGGGAGAGCATGCTCATGCGCACAAGTCGGGGGCAGGAGAGAGAGAATGTCAGGCAGATTCCACGTTGAGCGCAGAGCTCGACGTGGGGCCCAATCCCAGGACCCTGAGATCATGACCTGAGCTGAAACCAAGAGTCGGACACTTAACCGACTGAGACACCCAGGTGCCCCTCAAAATCTATTTTGATTGTTAGTAAATACTGGTCTGCTGTAAAATTATGAAGGAAATACATCTCAAATGCATTACCTACTTAAAGGGACAAGAGATGGTGGTATTTGGAGTCCAGAGTATTTCTGAGAAACCACAGATTCTCAGGTGAGTACTAAAACTTAAGTGAAAAGTGAGCCTTTGGGGACTCCAGAGTGGCTCAGTCGGTTGGGCGGCTGCCTCCGGCTCAGGTCGTGATCCCAGGATCCTGGGATCGATCTCCGCGTCGGGCTCCCTGCTGAGCGGGAAGCCTGCTTCTCCCTCTCCTCCCCGCTTGTGCTCTCTCTCGCTATCTCTGTCTCTCTCTCTCTCTCTCTCTCAAATAAATAAAAATAAAATCTTTAAAAAAAAAAAGTCTTTCGTTTCATTATTGAAATGACTTAATGTAATAGGAATTCCATTAAGCTCATTTGATGGTTTCTTGATTAAAGCCCATATGCTGCCCACATCTGTGTGGAAACAGTGCTTAGCATTATTCATATCTTCTTGGACTTAAGATCTCATGGATAAATCATCTCCAGAGCACTGGTGGGAGGATGGAGCGGAACGTGCTCCATTTTTGCCAAGGTCACCTGCTGTGTCCTTACAGGGAAGGGTATGAAACCCAAACAGTCCCCTCCCTTCAGGAAAATTTCACTGTCCCCAGGAGCCTTGAGATCATGGTTCTCCCCAAACCTAAAGTTAGCAACAGTTGTGGGTAGTAGTTTTGTTTTTTGTTTTTTTACCTTGAAGCATGAAGTTTCCAGCTTTGTTGAACTTTAACGAAAACATTTTCAACGTGTCTGGATAAAGAGCTTAGCCACTGAAAGCCATTAGCCTCCTATATACGCTATTACTACCTCGTAGAATACTGGATTCCTTAATGAACGTATCACCCAGCTTGTAGCAATAAACCTGATTTTGCATTTCCTTCTCTTAGACCCCGTCCTACTTGTGAACCTGTATTTTTGGCATTCGGGTATAGCCCCGATGAACTCTGTCAGGCATAATTAGTCCCCTGCGCCCAGCAGTGTTTGGTTTTGCTGAGAAAGTCTGTGGCTGGAGTTCTCTATCACATCATGCCTTTAATATTTAGGTGTGGAAAAGTCACATTATCCCTGGACTTCCATTTTTATTTATTTTTTATTGTCAAGATTTTATTTATTTATCGGAGTGAGAGAGCACAAGCAGGGGGAGCGGCAGAGGCAGAGGGAGAAGCAGGCTCCCCGCTGAGCAGGGAGCCCGACGCAGGACTCGCTCCCAGGGTCCTGGGATCATGACGTGAGCCGAAGGCGGATGCTAAACCGACTGAGCCACCCAGGCGCCCCTGGACTTCCCCTCTTAATGTGAAAGTTGTTGTCATTTGGATGGCTTCTTCTTTGTTAGTCGTCCAGACAAGAACCCTTTCATACGCTCAACCTTGGGGTCCACCAACCTGCTCTGTAAAGGGCCACATAGGAAATATTTTAGGCTCCCCGGGCCCGTGTCTGCTGCAGGTCCCCAGCTCAGAAGCAGTCACAAGCTGTGTACACGAATGACCACGACTGGGTCCCGGTCACACTCTACCTGTGAGCAGTGAGATTTGAATTTCTTGTCATTTTCTTGGGTCACAAAATGGTCTTTTGATCCCTGTCCCCCCAACCATTTAACTAACACCTGTTCTCATGGGCTGTGGTCTGCCAGCCACCATACTCAGTGACGGAGGATGGAAGCGTTCACATAGGCATTTCCTGCTGGTGACCGCTGTGGACTTTGGCACCCCGAGCGCAGGACTGTACGGCTAGCGTGTGAAGGCATCTGTCTGGGGAAAGAGCATCGAGTGGGTCAGGCTGGGTCTCTTCAGCCCCTTGTCAGAGTTGCTCTTTAAAATGCTATGCAGGGGCGCCTGGGTGGCTCAGTCGGTGAAGCGTCTGCCTTCGGCTCAGGTCAGGATCCTGGGGTCCTGGGAGCGAGCCCCGCGTCAGGGTCTCTGCTCAGCGGGGAGCCTGCTTCTCCCTCTGCCTGCCGCTCCCCCTGCTTGTGCACGCGCACGCGCTCTCTCCCTCTCTCTCTCTCTCTCTCTCCCTCTCTCTCTCTCTCTGTCCTTCCCTGTCAGACAAATAAATGTTTAAAAAGGAGTAATAAAATGCTGGGCAAAGGTCACGTGTCGGGTCCTGTGACCCTGTCCCGGGAAGAGTTCTGGGCATCTGGGTGTTTCTGCGCAGGGCCAGCTGCATTCATGGCAGTGCTGTCCTCATTTTTCCCTTCGCTGTTCCTTGATTCTAAAGCAGACTCTTCCCCGTGGTCCTTCCTTCCCAGTTCTTCGTCTCATGACCTGTCGGGCACGTGGGAGCCCTCGAATCTGCAGCGCACGTCTGGCCATTTCAGCTCGCTCGGGAGCGTCGACAGCCTGGACCAGCCTTCCCAGCCCTGCCCCTCCGGACGCCTGTCTGCCGCCAAGTCCAACAGCAGCATCGACCACCTGGGCGGCCAGAGCAAGCGGGACTCGGCTTACGGCTCATTCTCCACCAGCTCCAGCACGCCTGACCACACGTTGCCCAAGGCCGATGCCTCCTCTGCAGAGAACATCCTCTACAAAGTGGGCCTGTGGGAGGCCTCCAAGCCGGACAGCAGCCGGCAGGGCCAGGCCGCCAGCGATCCTCAGGGCCTCGAGGAGAGGCTCGGGTCTTCCCCGGCCCGGGTGCCCCGTGACGGTAGCAAAAGCCCCAGGCCAGAGGACAGTGCTGAGGTGAAGCTGGCCACCTCCGGGAGGTCAAATTTTGGGCCCGTCTGGTATGTCCCTGATAAGAGAAAAGCACCTTCGTCCCCTCCTCCGCCCCCGCCCCCCCTCCGCAGTGACAGCTTCGCGGCCACCAAGAGCCACGAGAAGGCCCAGGGCCCTCCATTCTCAGAGGCGGCCAACGTGCAGCACTTTCCAGGCCTGAGCCGCGCCCAGCCCCGCGGTGACTGGAGAGCAGAAGCCGCCGATCAGCCATGGAGGCTGGTGCGTCCCAGCGGCGGGAGAAGAGCCGGGAGCTCAGGTTGCACACCGGACGTCCCCCTGGATGGCGGGGTGCTGCCCTCTGACCACAGGGCAGGCGGCCTCCCAGGGGCTCCCGGCCGGCTGCAGGCCTCTCTGTCCGGCACGGATGTGCGTTTCCCACAGTCTTCCTTCGGCTGCCAGCACGCACGCCGGGACAGTGCCGAGAGCCCCTTCTGTCACGGGGGCCCCACGGCCGCCACGTCACTGAGGGAGCAGCCCCGCGTGGCCGTCCCGGGGGGCCGCCAGGAGCCATCTGCTGACCGTTTCCAGGAGCACAGCCCCGCTCAGGTCGGGCGGCCCGGCGCCACCAACCAGAAGGGGGACAGCGGTGGGCAGGGCCGCTACGACTGTGTGGTCAGCAGACAGTGCCCTCAGGACGGCACCCAGGCGGCGCAACTCCACCAGCAGGCCTGGCATCCTGACGTGGCTCCGGGTGCCCACGAATCCCCTACCCCACAGCCGCTGGGCCAGGAACCCCGGAGTTCCCTGCCGCAGCGCGAGCAGGCCCCGGGCCCCCACGACAGAGCCCGGGCCGACCCGGCGGACCGAGGAGCAGAGAGCCGCCCCGCAGGCAGTGAGGCAGCACCACGAGCCAGCCACGTGGAGAAAAGCGGTCTGAAGAAAACCGCGGATGGCTTCGTGTGGGCCGACGGAGAGAGCAGCAAGATCTCTCCTCACAAGACACCTATGTTGCACTCACTGACCCAGGAGGGGCCGCGCCGGCCCGAGAACGGCCCAGATGCGGGTACAGAGAGGCCGCCACCGTTTGACGCCCAGGTGGGCAAAGTGACACGGAGGAGCGACCGGTTTGCCACCACCCTGAGGAACGAGATCCAGATGCGACGAGCCAAGCTGCAGAAAAGCAAAAGCACGGTGACGCTGACTGGGGCGGGGGAAGCCGAGGAAGAGGCCGGCGGCGGCTGGAGGGTGGAGCGCAGAGGTGCCACCAGCCCCAGCCCAGAAGGGTCCTTCACGGGCACCTACAGAGACCACGTGAAGGAGGCCCAGGCCCGGGTCCTGCGGGCCACGTCGTTTAAGCGCCGTGACTTGGACCCCAGCCCAGCTGAGCATTATGCAGGGCCACCAGAGCAGCGGGCTGAGGACCACAGCGCAGATCTGGACCCCGTCGCCCGCGTCTGGGAGGGCGGCCTGGCCAAGGCGCCCCCGTCTGGAGCGGCCGTGCCGCACGTTCCCCGCATTGGAGGCCGGAAACGGTTCACGCTGGAGCAGAAACTGAAATCCTACTCTGAACCGGAGAAAATGAACGAGGTGGGGCTCTCGGGGGATGATCGCCCTCACCAGCGCCCTGGGACGTCCAAGGAGACTGTGGGCACGTTCGCCGACAGGTGGAAGTTCTTTGAGGAAACAAGCAAACCCATTCACCAGAGACCTGGCCAGAGGCAAGCACTCTGCGCGTTCCCTAAGGAGAAGCTGGAGAGGCCGCCGGCAGCGGGCCGTGGGTACGAGAGTGCGCAGCCTTGGTTCCAGAAGAGGGCCCGCACTACCTCCTTTGGAGAAAACCCCAGTGGGCGCAGAAGAGCGGGGAAGGTAGGAAAACTGGAACCGCCTGAGAGACTTGGGACCTTTGCTGAATATCAAGCCTCTTGGCGGGAACAGAGGACAGCTCTCGAAGCCAGGGGTTCCGGGAGGTATCACTCAGCCGACGACATCTTGGACGCGGGTCTGGAGCAGCACGAGAGGCTGCGGTACATTCATGGAAGGTCCCGGTCGTCGCCATCCACAGACCTCCACACACAGGTAAGCCTGGTGCCGCAAGCAAGGACAAAGCTGCCCCCCCCCCCCCCCCCCCTCCCGCCTTCCGCCCCATAGAGGGGCCCCCCCCCCAAAATAGAATGCCCCGATGTCAGTGTGACTTGTGTCCAGCTGTTTGAGCACCTATGTGCTCCAGCTCTTGTGGCATCGCCTCGTGTGAAAGGGCCCCGGGGAAGATCGGTACATTCGTGGCCGCTGAAGTGCCGTCCTTGCTTGCGTATCTCGAGTCCCCAGCCGCCGCCTCATCTCTTGCTTCAGCTGACTTTGCCTGTGAGTAGGGTGCCCCAGCCTTAACGCCAAGCCAAGAATTTGGGGGGAGCTCTAGAAAACGGCAGGTTCTCCTCAGAAATGGAAAGCGGGACTTTCTGTAAAGGGGTAAGACAGTGTCGGATAGCCAGTCTTCAAACCTTGAGGCCATTTACAGTTTCTAGTATTTGTTCTTTAAGGTTTGGGTTTTTGTTTTTTTCGAATATTTTTAGAGATTGCTCCAGGGCAAACGTAATCTAACGTGCAATGCATTAAACCACTGCATTTTCTGTAAGGTACTGACGGTAAAAGTTGGCTTTACGCTCTCTTCTAGAAAAGCAGACTATTGGTAGCGATACTCAGAGTCGATTGCCACGAGCCAAGCTCCCTCTCTCTGCCTGTTCTGCCTCTTAAACCTGCCTTTATATGTTTCAAAGAAAACGCTTACAGCGAGAGATGCGGTTTCTTTTCAAAAAGAACCAGTAGTGGGTTCAGGACACCATAGTCAGTACGTGCGTGTACAGAGAACTGCGTGTTTGTTCGTGGCATCCTGGTGCTGACAGGCCTGCAGATGCCGCACGTGTGGCAGTCTGGTCGTGGCCGTGTCCCAGCCCGTGGCCCGCGCAGCATGACCTCTGAGAACTCCATGCTTGCTCGGTCAGGAGAGAAGAATCCCAGACTCTGACAAGTCCTCGGGCTTGAGGCCCCGCCGTAGTGAGTTGCCACAGGCTGTATGTGAGTTGGTTTTTGTTTTGTTTCTGCTTTGGCCGGCTGTGTCCCATGGCCCTACAGGCCTCACGTCAGCCATCTGCTAGCTGCCCAGAACAGGAGTGGGACCTACGGTCTCGTTCATTTGTTTGGTAGACCGGTTTGGAGAGCTGAGCTCGCCAGGCCCGTGGCCGAGTGTCAGGACGAGACAGCAGGCTGCGTCATTGCCTCCGTGGTCCGGGCCCACAGGGCAAACCCACAATGAGGGGGTTCATAATGATAGATGTCTCAGAGAAGGCGGCTTGATGACTTGGTGTCTCACTGTGCTTGCTCTTGGCAGGAAGCTGCCATCGAACCCCAGCAGCAAGTGGGGGACCCTGGCGAGCACAGAGAACTTTCCTCTGCGGTCTGGGCCGAGGAGGGACATCCCCGTCCGAGGTAGGTGAATTTTGGACTGGGGGTTGCTAAGAAGACGTCTCGGGGGTGGCCTTCTTGATGGAGGGTGAATGCTCGGTGAACGTGATGGGGCATCTGTTTTTTGCCAAACCAGAGTGGCTGTTAGTGGACGCAGCGAGCCGCGTGCCCGGGTGCAGACGGCGCCGTGCGCATTGAGCTGAGCCCGCAGGCCTGCACCACGGGCAGGAGCACCCTCTCCGGGGCAGCAACGCCTTCGAATGCCATCGTGGCGTGTTTCCGTTCTTCAAATGGCTGCTGTGTTTTCTGCACAGTAGGTTCTTCCTGTTGAGAAAATGGGAAATCCAGTGCATTGTGCTTGAATGAAATGCTTTATCCAGAATGCTCGATTGAAGGGACCGAGTACACAGCTGGGTTGCTGGGGCGTGGTCTCCGCATCGTTCTTGCCTGGAAGGATTGTCAGTCCGGAAGGAATGGAGCCAGCCTTTCTAAATTGGGCTTATTTTGAGCGTGAGAATAGAAATCAATTCTGTGGGCTCCTCAAGAGGATCAGAGCGTGTGAGAGAATTGTGGACGGCCCGGTGTATTACCGTGCTGTATGCCATCATTCTAGAATGGGGCCGGTGCAGCTGTTCAGCTGTAGTGAGGATGGGATTTAGGTTAAGTAGGTAGGTGGGTAGACAGACAGTGTCATCTCGCCCTTGATACGCATGAGGAGGGAGGGAGAGAAAAGCATAGATTACTGTAGGACCTGTGGTATCACCTTATTTTGAAAGGGCTAATAGAAGCATGGAAGTGAATGTACGCAGCTGGGTAAGTGAATGCAGATTTTTCCGTCGCTTTGAGAATGGTGATCGGTGTGATATTTAGATTTCAACACTTAACCGCATAAGGTTCTGTTGCGGGAATAACCAATTTAAATGTTTGCCTTCTGTAACGGGGTCTTATTTCATTGGGCTAAAAACTTGCGGGCTGTTAGCCTTATGCAACAGCATCCAATCTTTACGTGGTTCTAAGGGGGCAAGAGTGGCGTTTTGTGTAGGAGGTCCCTGCCATTCACGGTTTGCACGGCCGAAACCAAGAATCCCTGGCTCAGAAGGAAGGGCCGATGAATAATACACCTACAAGAATGCAGCCGTTTCTGAGAAACACAATTAGAGCTTTACTCCGAGAGTCTCTGAGTGAGTCCCGGCCCGGCACCAGCTGAAATCTTCTCTCGCAGCCCGCTCCCGGGCTCTGCTGCCGTCATGACGGTGCTCAGAGCTCGCTGAGTTCCTGCCCTAGGCACGGCACTTCCACTGCAGAGGACTTAGCCCTTCTGCTGTGAGCGGAGTCCTAATGAATAGCTGTAATGTACACTGTGTGTGTGTGTGTGTGTGTGTGTGTGTGTTGTAAATGGCACTGTCAATAGCGAGAGGGTCAAGAAGAACAGCAGGAGGGACCACAGGCTTCCTTTATCATAGCACACTGCACCACCACTCTGAAGAAATTAGTTCCAGAGCCTTCTGCTTTTGAGCTGCAGAGCCGGCGATTTTCAGAACTGTGTGCGCATTCAAAAAGCGGCAAGACTCCACGAAATTCCAGAACAGGAACATGGAAAAGCCATTTTCAGCTTTTTTTGGAGAATGTTTATTTTCTGAAGTATCGGTAAGAAGTAGTGTATTTAAAACATTAAATCTGGGAATAAAAGAAATGAAAATTCAGGTCAAGGACTCTCTTTTTGCTCACCAAAACCAAAATCCTCTAATGCAACGATTTAAAGACGCCTAATGTTTTGCATAAACTTAAAACAATATAAACGTGTGTATAAAAAATATGAGGGGCGCCTGGGTGGCTCAGTCGTTAAGCGTCTGCCTTCGGCTCAGGTCGTGATCCCAGGGTCCTGGGATCGAGCCCCGCATCGGGCTCCCTGCTGAGCGGGAGGCCTGCTTCTCCCTCTCCCCCGCCCCCTGCTTCTGTTCCCTCTCTCGCTGTCTCTCTCTCTGTCAAATAAATAAATAAAATCTTAAAAATTAAAAAAATACATGAATTACAGGGGTACCTAGTCAGCTCGGTCAGTAGAGCGTGTGACTCTTGATCTTGGGGTTTTGAGTTCGAGCCCCACGTTAGGCACAGAGATTACTTAAAAATAAAATCTTAAAAAAAAAAAAAAAGGAATTACGGATCTGGTAACTGGTGTGGGGTAGTGAATGTTTTTCATTGTATTCTCTTGAGACAACATAATAGCATCAAGATAAGAGTTACTTGTTCATTCAAATCACATTGAGAACGTTTTTGTGAGGTTCAAGATTCTGTCCTACATAAAGATATGTAGGACAAAGGTTCTGCTCCCAAAGGGCCTCACAGTGTAGGTGGGAAGGAGAGACACCAGTACTTACCATAGAAGTGATGACACATAAGTAGAATTTTTGTAAGAAATAATGCGGTGCTTCAGAATCTTGGAGGAAAGAGGGTGAGATGACTTCTGGCTGAGTCACAGGGGAGACAGGTGGTGTTTGAGCTGAGAGAAACCCAAGGCCAGGGGAGCAGATTTCATTGCATTTGCTTACTTCTAGCTTTTCCTGTGGCGAGCAGCCCCCTTGACCCACCCCGACTGGCTTCACCCCCTAGCTTCTCCTGTTCTCAGAGGTTTTGCACCAGCTCTCCGAGCTCAGTATTGTGACCGACAGGAGTCCGCTTCCTGCGAATTCTCTCCCCCACTCACTGGGGGACCTCATAAGCTGGACGTAGCAGCTTGCTCGGGCTGTCCTAACCAAATACCACAGACTGGGTGACATCGACAATAGAAATTTATTTTCCCAGTCTTGTGGAGGCCAGAAGCCCAAGATCAAGGGGTCAGCAGGTTTGGTTTCTCCCAGGCCTTCTCTTCACGTCTGGCACATTAGCCACCTCCTCCCCGTGTCACCACGTGGTCTTCCCTTTGTGTGTCTCTGCCCAGTCTCTTGTAAGAACACCACTGAGATTGGATCAGGATTCGCCCTGATGACTTCATTTCACCTTCCTTACCTCTTTAAAAACCCTATCTCCAAATAGTCACATTCTGAGGTCCTGGGGGTTCGGACTTCAACTTACAAGTTTTGGGGTATACAATGACTCCGTAAGCCTGGGAGAAATGTCCTTTCTGCCTTATACCTTGTAGCCAAGGCTGTCAGCTGCCCCAGTGCTCTCAGGAAGTATATATCCCGTCGTTGAGCTGATGGAGCCACACCTGGTGTGGGAGCATTTAGAATAAAGGGGAGAGGGAGGCTGCCATCCTTGAGTGTGGCTGGTGAGGAGAGGAATTCGGCAAAACCTCTCCGAAGGGTGTTTTGGGGTTCAGTTACATGAAGCCCTGCTGTTGCAGGCACCTTGTGATTCAGTGATGCCACTTTTTAAGAGTTGACCTTCCGTGCCTATGCCCGTGTGGAGGCATTCTCCGCAGAGGCGGTGTGAGGAGGTGGGTGACTCTGACGCTCACCTGGGAGAGGTGTCTGTGGGCCCTTCCCTGCTTCTCATGGACCCACGCCCATGCTGCCTGCTGGTCTCCCTGCCTGGATGGCTGCTAGTGCCTCTGAACAGAATGGAGATGGAAATCCTGTCTTTGCCACTCCAGCACCCTTCTTGCAGGGGCTCCGATCCGACTCACAGTTCCCCTGGTCACCTTGCTGCACAAGCCAAAGCCCACCTCCCCAGTGCAGCACATTGCTCTCTGAGGGGCTCTGCTTTGACCCTCTGGCATCAAGTTCTCGCCGCCTTTGTCTGCCTCCTTGCTGGTCTCGGAATATAAATTAAATTATAACCGGCCCCATTCCCAAACCATGCAGTGGCTTCTGATTGCACTTGGAATAAAGTGCAAGCTCCTGACCATGACCTGCAAGGCCCTGTATGGCCTTCTTTTTTGTGGGGCATCCTTTGTCACTCTCCTTTCCCATCCAGGCTCGGGACTTATTGCTACCTTTCTACCCCTTGAACAAGCCAAGTTCGTTTCTCCCTCAGGGCCTTGATGCTTGTTAAAAGGCTGTTCTTGGGGCGCCTGGGTGGCTCAGTCGTTAAGCATCTGCCTTCGGCTCAGGTCATGATCCCAGGGTCCTGGGATCGAGCCCCGCATCAGGCTCCCTGCTCTGCGGGAAGCCTGCTTCTCCCTCTCCCGCTCTCACAAGCTCCTGCTTGTGTTCCCTCTCTCGCTGTCTCTCTCTCTCTCTCTCTCTCTCTCTCTCTCTCTCTCTCTGTCAAATAAATAAACAAAATCTTTAAAAAAATAAATAAATAAAAGGCTGTTCTTGGAACAACACAAGCCTACCTCAGGACATCTACCTAGCAAATGGCAATTGGGCGTTCATGCTCAGCTTGGGGAAGGCACCCTGTGTAAGCACAGTGACTGAAAGATGGATGGACCAGTTGTCGGGTGGATGAATGGATAGAGGGGTGGGTGGTGGGTAGGTAAATAGATGGGTAGGTAGATGGATAAACGGGGTGGACTGGTAGATGAATGGATGGGTACCTGCTAACAGCCCTTGCTTCAGTCCTTGGTCATGATGAATAAGGATCCAGTGGTACTTTCTGTGTGCTGAAATTTTATCTTAAGATTTCAGTTTACACAAAAGCCAGTGAAATGGGCTTGTCTTTCTATCCTGGCATAACTTTGAGAATCAAGACATAAACATCTCAAAATAGATTTGGTAGTGGGGACTTGTTTTCCAGTATCGTATCTTAAAGCTTGCGAGAAAGCGAAGTTGTGCTGTGGTCGGTTATTGCTCTCAAATTTGGGAGTTCGGTGAGTACTGTGTTCGGGGAGGCTCTGGAGACCAAGGGAGAAACGAGATCTGGGGGTGGAGCACGGTGGCCGTGGGCGCTGGCAGGTTCCGTCCTCATAGCTGCCTTGCAGCCATTTCCGCCCTCGCCTGTAGGAGCTGCCGCCAGTGGGCTGGCACTGACCTGCAGGCTTGTGTCTTGTTGGGGCAGATGAGCGAGGAGGGCGAGAGTGAGCATGTACTCTGCTAATCCCAGCAACAGCTGTAAAATTGAATCCGCATGAAATCGAGTTC